CTAACCGTCCAACCGGAAGAAATTTAACGACCGCTCCGTTTCTCGTATACTTCGCCAAAAACGACTCCTCTCGATCGAGTCTTTTTCGTTAAAAGGGCGGAACCTTTGGGTGACAGGATGTGGCCGAGAAAAGAGCTGAGCTGAGCTAGAAACGCTTCAAGGTTCGGGGATAAAAGTTGGAAGAAATAACGAGACGGCGAAAAATGAAGAATTTCTGAAGGTAGAATTCCTACGAATCCACGTTGCTGCTTCTGTTACCGGTGCTGGTGGTCTCGCGATATCTTCATCGAACGGGGTAATCGTCCTTATCGTTTCGTTAGGTAAGTATCATCGAGAAATTCAAACAGATTACGGTTAACGATGAAAGAAACGAGCGAGAATGGAGGGTGGCGAAAAGGGGGGGAAATGAAAGGGGACAAACGTAATAATCGCCAGAGGCGCGAAAAAAAAAGAGCACCGGTTATTTTCTTCCAGAGCCACTTGATTCAAGGGGCGTGCTCTTAATTTTAGGTTTCCACGTTGGCATAAGGCTCGCTCTCTCTCTCTCTCTCTCTCTCTCTCATTTCCTCGCCCTGTTTTCCTACATAGAAGTGGAGTGATAAAATCGATGGAACAGATGTGACGTGAAATTCTTTATGCCTGATTCCCGCGAATAATTTAATAAAAGGTGTTCGCTGATCCGTAGAAAATAGCGGAGAAATTCTTCAGATTAAATTGAAAAAATGTCTGCCCAGTTTGAAACGAGCCGGAAGAGTCAGATGTCACCATGCTTGAATCTTGAATAAATGATTGAACGAAAAGGACGAAGGAGATTCCGTGTTACGAGAAATACCGTAAAATAGCACGTGTGACCATTGCATAAAATTGTTAAAAATGGAGCGAGGAATGCGAGGGCTGTTCGAAATGAACCGGAAGTTACAAAGATTTATCGCTGGATTTCACCTTCTCGCGAGCTAAAAACTTTTCGCTCGTAGATCACGTAGCTCATCGGGTCGTTAAAGTCGATCGTTCGTAAAGCGGGAACAGCGCTCTTGGAATCTTATTTTCCGTCGCGTGGGTGCACACCGTGTGGGCTCGCATAACGTCCACTATTTCACCTCCGCGGTGGTTTCAACCTGGCGGTTCATTATACTTGCTAGAGTAAATTGTCTAAGCAAACAGAAGTACAGATATTCCAACTGTACCAGATTTACCATTCACATTTCACGTCACCTTTCGAGCACAACCGCGGCGAAACGAAAAGTGCGATCGAACTTCGAGAACCATGAACGCTTTCGGGGAGGGAAGGAAAATAAGAGATCGACGATAAACCGGCGCTGTAAAAATTCACGAGTTTACTCAGAACTGCGATTGATTGTACTCGGTATTCAATTACCGCCGTGGAATACAAAAGAACGGCGAGTGCACGGGCATTTTATCGATGCCCATTTCGATACACGATATCAGAGACAAACGGAGGGATGAAAAGCTGGCTGGCAACGTGACGCGGTACGTCAATAGCAGGAAGAAGATCCGCGTCTGACGAGAAGATTGACGGAATATAAATGTGACCTGTAAATGAAACCGATATAATCGATCCACTCCGCCATGACACTGACCAACGTTTACATTTTTTTTCCCCCTTTCTCTGTCGTCGAACCGATTGAATAGTTACCGCATGGTGAAATTGATTTTCGTTAGGTCACACCCAGGTATTTCCTTTTTTCTTTCCCTCGGTCAAAGGGAGAACGATCGATCGTTATCGTTGTGGTTAAACCAGCCTTTCAGACCAACCCTTCGACTTTTATTTGTCCATTCGAACCCTTTGTTTTCTAGTCGTGAAACATCGTGCTTCCTCCGCCCTCCTCTATCCGTTTCGTTTCGTTTTCTTGAGGTTGCTCTTCGTTTCGACTCCCCGCAGACGAACCGTATCGATGTAACCATCAGTGGCAATTTGGGTCACAGCTTTATTGGAAGCATGGGCCGATCGTTAACGAAACGAATTGAATCGGAGCCCGTCTCTCGTTTCATCTCGTCCCCCCGTTTCTTTTCCCTGGGCCGCTTCACGGACGCATCGCGGTGACGTAATCGTCCCGAATATTCGAAACGGTTCGGTGAACCAGGGCAGGAGTCGCGTGGGCGACTGTACGCTTCGTTTCGTTTAACGTAGGTCGGAATTTGGGCTGGGGAAATCGGACGAGGACGAGGGCTCGCGAGCGAGCGTTGATGATTGATATCGGGGGGGAATTCGGGAATCTGTCTATTGAGTTTGCTCGGCGAACGGAGGGAGGAATATAACTGCTTCGATTTGCGGATTTTCGAATTTTCAAATTCGCTGAAGTTTTGAATTTCCGCGTTCTCTGACACTCTGAATTTTCAAATTTACAAATTCAGAACATTCTAACACTCAAATTCCCCAAAATAACCAAATTTCCGCATTCTCCAACATTCCGAATCCTCAAATTTCCAAATCCAGAACATTCTAACTCTCGAATTCCTCTAAATTTCAAATTTCCGCATTCCTTAACATTCGGAATCCCCAAATTTCCAAATTTAGAACATTCTAACTCTCAAATTCCCCTAAATATCAAATTTCCGCATTCTTTAACATTCCAAATCCTCAAGTTTCCAAACTCTCAAACTTCCGAATCCCCAAATTTCTTTATTTTCAAACTTCCAAACACAAAAACTTCAGAATGTTTAATATTCACGCCTCCGCGCAATCCCGAACCAAATAAACCAGCGCTTGGGTAAACGCGATCCGAGAAAAACAATCACGATGCATCGTAGACTACGCAAACTTAACCTCGTTCTCATAAATCCGACAAGCAAAGAGAAAAAAAAAAACCAGAAGGCACTCGATGACGAGGAGAAATCGAACTCATCCTAAGGATCATTCTTCGTGGACCTTGCCCAGCCGTTAATTCGACCTTTGATCTATTTCCAGACGGAACGGTGTGTCGTCGCGATAAACCGGCATTTCACCTCCGGCTGGCAGGACGTATTTCCGGCGGCGTTAGTCAGCCGGTTTAAATACAACCACATTAACTACTAGCTTTTCGTCTCTGTCCTCCCTCTTCCCCACCCTACACCAAACACCCCTACCAACGGAATCACCTTTCTTTCTCCCCCTGTCGGAGCCAAGTAGTATTTCTGACTGCTTCTCACCGACAGATCGAGGTTAATTGGCTACCATTAGGACGAAAATTAGCGCGAATTAGCCCCGAAACGATGAGTTCCGTTGCTTGAATTACGAGCCCGCGAGTTTTCGCCTATCAGTTAATTAATCGTGGCGACAACTCGTGACGTTATCAATTCACCAACTTCCGAATTCACGTTGAAACTTCTAACTAAAAACCTCGATAGACACTAGAAACCCTGTTACCCGACGTTATATTAATCCAAGTGTAATATTCTCACACACTATTCAGATATATCGAATCGCAACTTCTGATAGAGTTTCAGAGTTCACTTTGAACTAATTTTCGCTTGATTAATCGTTCTTATCGAAGATGGAGGAACATGAGAATTGTCGACAGAAGGAGGACACTTTTTTTGGTAGCTCTTCTAAATTCACCTACATGTAGACTTTGGAGTAGTTTCGTGAGTAACCTCCTAAGTAACCCCATCTAACGCTGCAGCAATTGCACCAAATTGGACGGTCGCGTTGTAATCTACTCTAATCTAACTTAATCGAGTGCTTCGTTCCACGCGAACTCTCTCGTCTCCACGGGTGATCGTTGATCAAACCGGAGTTCTTGAAATTCCGAGTAGTAACTGATCGTGCTCTGTTTCTCAAAGGAGACAGTAGTAGAATATTAGTATGAACCTTTCGTCGCTTCCATTTATCGTTCGATGTCGGAGCAGGCTTAACACAGATTTGCCAGATTCGTATTATCTGTCATGATCGTGGTTATATTCCAGGAACACCAGCTTACACACATTCTTAAGCATAAACATTCTTCCACGAACGTGTATCGATTTTTATCACCGATGATTCAATCGCTCAATCGTTATCAGAATTTCCAAAAACATATTTAGAGAGAGAAAATTTGCTATTTTTATCACCGATGATTCAATCGCTTAATCATTCTCAGAAATTGAAAACAAAATTGCGCAAGGAATAAATCAATATTTGGAATTAAAAATTTTTTTAAACTTCCCACAAGATAATCTGTATCATTTCATACGAATCACTCGGTATACATCTGTCATCTGTCGTCTTTCCTAATCTACACTACCGGCCAAAAGTTTGGAATCACCTGCCAATTTACATTAACGTTCAATCTGCTACTAATTCTTTATTGATTTGAAATTAATGTTCTGGAGATCAATAGCACTTTACCTCATTTCGATTGACTTGAATGATAAAAAATTCGTTAAAAAATTATTATAAATGCTACCTTTTTTGGGGGAATCTTTGTGCAACTTACAGTGCACAGTGATTCCAAACATTTGGCCGGTAGTGTATATAGACTGTGTATAGATTAAAAAGTGAGTACTAGGTGCTGTACATACAACTGAACATTTGTGTTACATGCAGTACAATAAATAAATAAAATTTTACTTAAAAAGGCTTCAATGTTGACAAACAACTTACCCCAAAGTTGTATAAACAAGCTCTTAAAATTGAAGCCTTGTTAACCCTTTCATTACTATTGACGCGTAGAGGCGTTTCGAATACTTTTGGAGCCTTTTGACGCACTTGCACCTTAATTTAATACTTCATTTTGTCCTTCACGCACTTCCATCCTGATTTAATAAAACGACACGGCCAAAATAACAAATTTCGCAGCCTTGGTTAAAAATTTACCCTCAGTCACCCAAGTTACGCGTTAAAATCTGCCGTAGCGAAAGGGTCAAGTAAAATTTCATTCATCTGTCGATACCAACATTTTCCTTTCTGACATAAAAATCCTATTTCTCTAAAACCAACTTTTAACGTGCCACCCGGTACGTACTCTCGATAAATTGCACACTTTCCCACAGATACATACTGAAACAATTCGACAAAGACTCACCGTCGTCGCTGATTTCGAGATTCGTGTAACTGTCCCAGTGCAGTATTGGGTCGTGGTGAGCAGAGGCGTGAGGAACGGCCGGCGTCGGCGCCGGTATGGGTCCATCTTGACGCTTGGCGTCCGTGGCGAAGTACAAAGTCACCACGCTATCCGGTGGGCATCGAGGATCGTCACAGGCGACGTCGAGCTCCGAACGAGGAAAAGATACCACGTTCTCGGTGATCACGCAAGTGTGGAACTGCGGAAGCAACGAATACCGATCTCTGTCCAAGATACGAACGGTCGCTTTTTACGTAAACGCGATACCGCGTGTGTGTGTGTTTTCCCCCTATCGCGGGAATTTAACGCGAAACGAGAGTCGGAAAAGCGATACGATCGTGCTAATTGCAGTCGCTCGAGGGTCTCTGAATCAACGTTATTAGAAGAGGTGAAGTTTATAGCAAATTATCACAGCTACCAGGTCTGCTGGGAATTTCTACCCCTTTTTTCCGAGTCACTTTTGAATTTTCCAGCGATGCGCACGCAATGTGAAATGTTGAACTTTTCAGTGAGGAATGATCGTCATTTTTTAAATTCCTCAATAGTGGGTTACCGAGAATTGAACTTTAGGTTAACATGGGAAAAAAATTAACAGATTCAGAGATGAATTTGAAAATGATTCGAGATACGAGAAGTAAATATATTACATTGTTGGCTGATAAGAGAGCACACGTAGCAGAGTGGTCTCGATTTACTTTTTGCAACGAGAGAATGGAAGCTGGGATATTAGTCAAACACGAAGACAGAATTCCTTCCGGTAAAGTTAATATTTGAAAACGTGTCGAGTTGACTTTAATCGAGGAAGTTACTGCTAGCTTTACTTACCTGCAGGGAGAACATGACTTCTCTGCTTTGCTTCGAGTACACCCTGTGGTAACATTTCACCAGAATGTCTCCCCTTAGACGAAGACCACCGAGATTCACCGTGAACTCGCGGGCATTCGTTACAGAGTACAGATCCGAGGTGTAGACGGGGGTTAGGCCTTCGTAGACCTTGAGGAACGCTCGACATCCGGTTGGTTCGAACAGAGGAACACCGAGGACCGTGAGGTGCGTTAAGTAGAGGGGAGATTGGCTGATTCGTAAAGCGCATGAGAGCAAACCGCTGAAATACTTGATGTACCTGAGAGAAAATACACAACAAGGTGTAAAATGAAGTGCATAGTCAGTTTGCATGTCAATCATTCTGAAAATAAACTGTGCACACTGTTGGAAAGATAGTTAATTCTTCAGAGATCAATAGCAATTTATTTTGTCATTTTGGTAGATTTTAAGAAAAGATTAATTAAAATTTTTCTAAAAATTCTTCACACTGGAAACGTAATTGTCCTTATAATGGCAATGTATCAAATTTTGAATATGAAGTGTGTACACTGTTGGAAAAATAGTTAATTTTGCACAGATCAATGGCAATTTATTTTACCATTTTGGTAGATTTGAATAAAAGATTCGTTAAAATTGTTTCGAAAAATTCTCGCGACTGGAGATATAATTGTCCTTTTTACAACGGCAACGTGTCAAAAGATGTAGAACAAGGTTAAATCGGAAGCATAAATTCAACGAATTAAATCCCACTACCCAAGGGGTCGATGATTACAATTTAACGCATTAAAAGACGCCGGCGTTCGCGTCCAGTAATTTCGTAACAGAACCACAGCGACACGCGACACGATACAGCAATTACCACGTTAACTACTGCTTCCCAGGAATCGCATTATTTGCACTACTTAGGTCAAGGCAAAACCGTCTTTCTTTCTTTTTTATTCGCAATAGCTCTGATCGTTGAAACAAGCGGAATGGTGACTAGTAGTCGTCGTCGTCGGTTTCCATCACGAAACACCCGAGGGAGTAAAAAGAGAGGGTCGAACTACCAGCGTTCCGCTAATAATTCGTGTCTGACCAGGTATGGCCGCATCTACTTCACGCGAGCTCCTCCGTATTTGGCCGTTCGCGGTGTCGCAACGCACCGTGCGAAAGTATTGTAAAACGTCTCTGACTGTGACATTCGCGTGCTAATTAGTGTCTGGCCACGAATGGACTTTTCCACTTCTCACGTAGCCTTTTACACCGGTGGCGAACAGTCTGTACGAAAAGGGTACCGCGAAAACTGCTTCCATACGAACAACCATAAACGGACAACCACCCAACGAACCTCTCCAAACTCAGGGTGGTTCGTTTTCTTCTCTTTTGCATCGAAATTAATTTCCCGCTTGTATTACAACACAAGTCTATACACGGAAGAGAGAACCTCGGGGGGACACGGGGCACTTTTCGCGATTATGCAGCATCGTGAACGCTCATGACCGTAATTTCGTTGGATCTCTCACGAATTCTCGCGCGTGTGTCGCTCGTAACGAAGCAGATACGATCTTCCCGGTCGATCCCCTCGCTTCTCAGGAGGAGAAGAGAGAAAAAAGAAGAAGAGAAAAATAACCCGTTCTCCCTTAAGGTGGCACCTAAGGTGCCGTGTGTGTACCCTCCTCGAGTTGTGGTACACACGTTCGAGGAGAGCCCACCTAGCCTCTCTCCTCTCTCCATTCTCTCGATAATGGATTCATACGTTCGCGGGAGTGCAGCCATGCTAACGACATGCTAATGCTTGCCGCTCGTGGAATTAATGGGGAAACTCGATCGTTCCGGGGGATGCAAAGGGACACGAGGGAACGAGGAAGAAGAGCGAGGGTCCACGGCGACGCAACAACCGACACAACGCTTCGAGGAACGTATAAGGACACCGGTTGTATTCGACTGGGAGAGGGGAGCGAGGATCATTACGATCATCGGCGTTCCCGCGTCAAACGACGAAAACTGAAGGCGAAAGGGCCGGGTGGAAGGATCGACAGCGGGTAATGTGTACCGATCGCTGTGGATCGTTGCCTGGAATGGATAGCCAAGGTTGACAGGTCTACCTACGGGGATTATGTTTATGGGGTTATTTTACTGGCCATTTTTAAGCGGTCTCTGGCCTCTCATTGGCGGGACTACGGCTGATGTAGAGCCGCGGTCGTGGCTGCCCGCTTCCGATACACGTTCTGCGCTCCGCGGAGGCGGTGGAATGCATACTGGGTGTTCCATTAAATTTACACGCTAACGGAAATTACTTTGGGAACAAAAAGTGAATTTTTCTTCTGTACTGACTTTTTCAAAAATTACATAGTGAATTTCAAAACTCTCGTCCTTCTTGGAACGTTAGAAAAGTGACTGCAAACTTTTGATTAGTGTCCAATTTATGGGTCCAAACTTGAAGAGATTAACGTAATTTTGTTAACACGTTAAGCGCCAAGCCTGTTTTCTCTTCCTTTCCGTTTAGCCCGCGATATTCGATTTCACCGATATGCTGGCGGCCGGAGATCTGTGTAAGGTTGTGATAAGACTGCATGTGATTTAATAATACTCATTAAAATTTGTTTTTGGTAACAAGTAATATTTAGGTACATTCTTTTATGATCTCGAAATTATTCAAAATTTATCAATAGAAGAATATAATTTTCTAAATTGTATATCGTCAGTCAACAGTGACTGACATGGCCCGAACGAAAAGTATACTGTCAGTCACCGACGACTGACATGGCGCTTAACGTGTTAAATACGAATTTTAAATATTAGAAACATTATGAAGTGGTTTCAAGCTGGGGAACTATAACTCTTACGAAACACCGTGTATCAGGAAGATCAATGCTCAGGAAGACGACCATGATGAGCCATGCAACACGCAACCGACTACGCGAGGATAAGTATGAGTATATTCAAGGATGTATATCGGCCTTGGTGGTAGTTTATCACGAGATTTACGGGACTTATACGACCGTTTTATCGACGTCGATACGGAAACCTCTTAGCTTCAATTTTTTACGAGCTCGTCAAATACGCGTTAGAGTCGAACACCGTACGATTCGAGGCGATTCGAAACGTTTTAAAATCACACACGTTTGACAATTTCTTAATCGCACGATCCTAATGGATGCAACCAGTCTATCCAGCAAACGTAAATTCAAGGTTGAGCATCCTCTGTTCGTGAGAATCGTTACACAATCCTCGGATAAGTATCTTCCACTCTACCGATCCCCAGTTACAATCAACCTAATTAACCATCAAAACGAACGCGTTCGGAGAACGCTATATTTAACCGTGAAAAATAAACTGCTACGATTCCGCGAATAATTAGTACCTACGGCATCCACGGCACACCCGTTAATTATGACATAAGAATTTTATGTAATACCAAGAGGAAGATACGAGTGGAGGTAACGCGGCTTCGAATATATCGACGATACGTCGACGACAGGCTCGTAAGTTTTGAAATAAGGACTACACCGGCTAACGCGATTAACCAGTCATAAC